GGGGGAAGGAGGGGGATAGGGTTACAGGGAGGGGGGTTAACCCTTGGTGCACTGGACTGGGTGAGGCAGGGGTATGGAGCTCTACCCCATCAGTTATAACAGGTGGGGGCAATTACCCCCACAAATATCTCAAACAGGGGCAATGACCCACAGATACCCCAGGTAGAAAAAATAACACCCCTCCCAGTTACCTCAGGCAGGGGCAATAACCCCCCCCACACATTTACCCCAAGAAAGAGACAGAAACTTGAAGAGTAGAATCATAGAAAGGTGGTTTATTGTGGGGGGAGGGGGCTGTCAATCATGCAGGAGGAGCAGGGCTAATGTCCTTATTGCTATCAGTAGGAGCAGGGCTTCCGGAGACAGGGGGCGGAGCGGTAAAACAGGTGCCCAAGGCAGAGGGTGGGGTGATAAAGGGGGCGGGGCCATGGGATGGGGGCAAGGTGGGTGGAGCTAAAAGGGACGGGGTTACGGGCAGAGTGGGTGGGGTTTGGGAGGAGCTCGAAGGGGCGGGGCCTAGGGGAGGATCTCACAGTGTCCCACGGGGTGGGGTCAGGGACAGGGGGGCAGAGGGGTACAGTGTCTCTGCGTGTAGCAGAGGCGCCCCCGGGGCCGGAAGACATCAGATTTACAAAGGCCCTGAGCTGCTCACCCCTCCCCCGCCTCCAGACTCACAGGTTCTCGGTACAGGCCAGTTCCCTCAACGGGCACACAGACCTGGGTCTGTGTGTGTGTACACATCTCTCTCCTGCCGCTCCCCCAGGCCTACCCCTCCCTCCGTGCCCCGGGGGGGCAGTTATGGCTCGGGCACCCCCAGTGGGGGCAGTAAGTAGCAGTTACCCCCCATATGGCTCATAGGGGGGGAGGGCTGGAGGGATGTGGGGGGCAATTCCCCTCCCCCCTCCATCGAGGTAAAATCACAGCCTGAGACACAGTGGGGAGAGAACCCAGGCATCCAAGCTCCCTCCCCAGCCTGCTGTAGCCCCTAAGCCGTGCTGCTCACCTGGAGGACCCAGAAGTCCTGCTCCCACCCCCCTCTCCGTCAGAGAACCCGTGTGTCCTGGCGGGGGGAGAGACTGGGGGGGATTAAGTGATGGGGGTTTGGACGCCTGGGTTTTCCCCTGGTGAGGGAAGAGTTAAGTCCCATACAGGAGGGCAGGGCAGAGGCAAGTGGGTGTGGCCTCTTGGCTTGGCCCTGCCCCTTCCCTGTAGCCCCTCCTCTTCTGATCTTCCCATTGATTGCTGTTGCCCTCCGGTGGCCGGCCTGGGTACTGCACCCAGGGTGGATGGGGGCCTGCTTCTCCAGGCAGGGGGTAGG